AAGGCTTATCAACCTGTGCTATGTGCACAGAAACTCTTGAGGCAATCAATTCGGTTGTCATAGTCTTGACTGTGACATTTTGATTGGTGGTGCTTATTTTTTCCATGTATATAATCCCTTGTGTGTTCCTGCTCGTATTGTGTTTGCGACTGAAGAGAACAATCGAAATGTTGACATATCGCAACCTATATCTTCTCTCTGCTTTATGACCTAAACAAACACGCAGAGTCTGGGCGCCTACACCTGGTGTCAAGATCCTATTTCCACAGGCTGCTAACTATTGTGGGAAGATAAGGTGGCATCAGCGAGACAGTGTTCTTGTAGCTTTTAATTCCACTCGTCCTTATCATCCATTACCCTGCAGATAACTCAGCACCCACCACACGTTATACAGGCAGCCCCACCAGGAGTCGATAGCCGACGCGCCATTGGTTTTGACTTCGAGCCATCTCCTGTAAAGCTACGAGCCAAGCACAGGTCGGGTTACGTGAACTTCAGCCTGGAAGACGAGACTGATCAACATCACTATGCAATTCGGTCGTCAGTGACTTCATTTCTCGCTTCCAGGCCAACTTCTATCCACTCCGCCAAACTTCACCATTAGCAAATGGCTAAGTTACAGTGCATAAGCCCGGGGGAAATATATTTTTATTGGTTTCTTTCGTTCAAAAATGAGATTGAGCACAGGTCTAGGTCTGCTCTGATGCTCACTTAGAGAACCGCCCAATTGCGACTCGTTTACACCACACGAAGACCAGTGTTCCATTAGACTTTGACGAACCTGTCGGGCAATCTGGCCCAGCATGTCATCCACCAGTTTACTTGCGGTCGCGGTAAAGTTCACGTTTGCAGCACTAACCGTCGACTGGCTTAAAGAGTGATTGAGCACCTTTTTACTTGGTTAAATTGGTTGACCTCATAACAGAGTGGTGGAGAACATGCGATAAAGCGTAAGTCTGCCTCAACTACATGAAGCACCTGGTGACGAATGGTCATCACACGGATCCATAGAAAACTTTCAAAATACTCAACTGTGACCTGAATCCGAAACCGTCGGCAATTAGTCTATCGCGGCTTATCACGAAAAGTAGTCAAGCGCTGTGTACACCGAAACAACTGAGTTGATTGGTTGGGTTGCCATGGTTCTAAGCATTTGCCTGTATATTGTTCAAGAATGTTATCTGTTCCGCGTATGAACTGCAAACTAAATCTGTACATTCAATTGAGCGAACCAAGATGTATACCATGTATGAGGCACAATACTCGCATGTAATGAGCACTACCTGTTTTTATCTCCTCCTGTGCCACTATTTTCTGTATGCCCCTACGAGAGGTCGCTCGTCGATCTGTTCTAACTCGATGCCACACCAGAGCACAGGCTGAACTCCGAAGAGAACGCGTGAAACAATAAATCTACTATCATTCAAACTGCCATCTCTCATTGATTTAGTGATAAACTCATTATCAGTTCATGCATGACTCCCGTCTACTTAAAGAAGGGGAATCACAGTTCAATAGAATACATGGAATTTAATAATTTAGCTTATCCTCCAAAGCCGTGAGTTATCTAGACGAACAATCAGTATGCAAGTCATTGGTGTTGGGCAAGGCGGTCAGAAAGTTGTTGTGCAAAACCGATCTGGACCGACTAGACTCTCGATGTACGACCTTATGCATTTAACTCTTTCACTTTGCTTGCGGTAGCAAATACATAGGCCGAATTGTGAAGCAATTATCTACAAGGATGGTAGAGTACATCCTACGTAACATGGCTGCAAACCACCCCAATCTACACACTAGCTCAATTACACGTCACACACTCAGTTGCCCTGCTTGGCAAAATCCACCTGTATCTTTTAACGTAATTAGCTAACAAAGTGACCGAAGCTTTGGTAATTAATAGGCCTTGTAATTAAGCTTGTGTTTTCGAAATAACAAAGTTGCTAAAAGCACGTTGGGTCAAACTGAATCGATCTAGCCAAGCCGAAAGAAGAAAGCACGCGATGTGGGCCTTAGCTCCCGGCAACTGTTGCAAATTATGGTATATGATATGGGTACATCACATGGATGAAAGCAAAAACAAGGCCGCAGAATTTCCATTATTTTTAACAAATAAAGGGATGTCTACAGTTTTATTCGGCTATCTGATGAGCGATGTGCTATGTAATCCTGTCTATTGGACAGCATGGCAAAGCAGCCCTTTTGTTGAAAAGTCTGCGCAGTTGCACAACATCATTGACAGTGTCAAGCACATACAACTGACGAAGAAGGTACACGAAGAACAGATAGATTTAGGAACGACATGTAAAACGAATGAACTTGTTAACATTCTGCATCACAGAAACAATTACCACTCCACCTTAATCGACGAACTGGTTAATGCACCCGGACAGTCCTTTCATGATCAAGCCGACATCTGCGAAACATTTAGCTCATTTTCGCTACCTCCATGAGCCTTGAGACGAGCCCGTTAAATGCATGCATTGGGGTGCCAACAACTAACGCTCCGTGTAACATTGGATTTTCTATTAGTATAATCCAACATGCAACAATCATATCAAACCGTCTTCCCATCTGGATTCCGATGGTATCCCCTCCCCGGCCGTCATAAAACTAGGAGGGCCTGACATGCCGTTGCTATTGCTGAACATGTTTACCGTTTCGTTGGAATCAGGCTACTTTCCAGACCGGTGGAAAACATCGCTCATCATTTCCCGTCGCAACGGTGACTCCAAATGAGAAATTAACAATTACCGGCCAATCCATCACACTCCTATAGTAGCCAGCAAGTTAGAGAAACTGGTTAAGAATGATGTGATGACATTTCTCAATTCGCTGGAGTTAATCGACAGGTCACAGCATGGTTTCTTGGACAAACAATCGTGCATAACCTGCCAATTGCATTATCTATACCATATTTCGGATTCTATTGATTCAGGATACACAATCATATTTCTGTTCCTGCACATGGAAAAGGCGTTCGACCGAGTGCTCCACAAACGGGTGCTGAAAAAGATTGCTTCCTTTGGAATTAGCAATTTGGATTAGCAATTATCTACACGAACGAAGGCTAGTGGTGAGAGTCCGATCGATGTGACGTATGAAGTACCACAAGGCTCGGTTCTTGGACCCCGTCTATTTCTGGTGTTCATTAACGATTTGGCAAGATCAATTGCTTCCGATTTCCTATTTTTCGCTGATGGTATCAAGATATGGCGAAGGATCAGAGGACCGGAAGACCACGAACGGCTCCAGCACGATTTTAACACAGTGTCGAACTTGTCAGTTCAAAACGCCCTACCATCCAACGTAGACAAATGTCGCGTTTTACAATTACGCCATAGACATAACTACACAGTACGAATGTGGCATAGAGGAATCAGTCTGCTCTCAGTCACCTCTAAAATACCGGCCTCTGTCGTTCTTCGCAGAATTACTGGCCCCTGTGAAGTCAGATTCGTAAGAAGTAAACCGAGTTTCGTCGAGGTCGGGGTTGCATCGATCACACTTTCACAATACGTCAATTATAGGAGCACCTTCACATACATTGGTGACGTAAAGTTGTCGTGTTCCTAGACATCAAAGGTGTCTTCGATCCGGTTGCTCGAGGTGCAATTTGGGACGGTTTGCTAAGGAAAGTTGTGCCCGAGAAATATGTAAATATTATCCGAGCATTATACGCTCTTAGCTGGGGTTTAGTGAGGACTTACGGCAAGATATCTTCTCTCTTCAATATCTCCAGCAGTGCAAACGAAGGATGCCGGCTGTCACTTTTCCACTGCAACGGTATTGATGAAGTCACGGAAATCGCGTTCACTGGACATAACTTAGAAGGTGTGGTTGTTTTTAGCTTAGCGAATTCTTGACTCGAAATATGCTGACGACATTGCCTTAACCTCTGCTAGCTCCAAAACGCGCCAAGAAACATAGCATAGCACTGGAGGTCAGCCGTTTCGGGCTTCGCCTTGCACCTTCAAAGTGCAAGGCTTTCCTCTAAATTCGGTGGGGACCGCCTCCTGCACTGACCATTGGTGGGGATCAACTATAAATGCAGCTACCTAGGCGTTGTATTAGCGCCTGTGGAGCAGAAGACGACAGCACGAGTCGTATAGCAGAAGCTCAATGTGGTTTGCCAGTCTCCGCAACCAGTGGCGCCAGAGCGACATCACTCTCTTCCTGAAGAATAGAGTGTACAATGCAACAGTACTTGCGACTCTGCTGTACGGTTGTACAACATGGCCTATTAGACAGGCAGACATAAAGAGGCTAGTTGTGTTTGACCACCGGTGTCTTCGCAGTTTGTCTTAAATCTGGTGGGAACATCATGTGAGCCAGGAGGATGTTCGACGCCTTGACTATTGCACATGAAGTGGAAGTGAATCGCTCAGCACCGTTAGTTCACGCACCAGGCTCCGATGGCTGGGCCATGTGCTTCGCACGCCAGCCACCGGCTCCCGCGAAGTGCGTTTGTGCAACCGGGATTTGGATGAAAAAAGAGGAAGGGGGTCCAACCGACGACATTGGCAAGAGGAATGAAGACCCTTAGTTCCCACTTGGCCTCGATTGTAGCCTCTCAGTTCCATGGTTGGGACCCGAAAGACAATGAACACATTTGACTGCATACTATTGTTGACGTGCCTAGGAGCCGACCTCAGTGGCCTTCAGGTTGTGTGTTTCTTTGTCCACCCGCATCCTTCTTAGCCCACCAGCTGCGATCCGATTTCTGACACATAATTTAACTTTTTTAATCCATATAGTCGGCCGAAAGATTTCCGGAACGATGTCCATCCGTTATTGCTGGCTCAGCTGGCGTACATCTGTTGTGTCTTTTTATATTTTCCATGTATTGTTGAACAGTAGCTAGGTCTTTCCCACCTCTTGCTAACGTGTATATTTCATTACATTTCAGATCTCAAAGTAACCATTCCTTTCACGTCATTGACATCAGATGAATTTGCTTGAAACACTACCACACTACCACAATCCTCTCACTTTCACAGGTTCTCAAAACTCGCATGTGTTTGCGTAAAAGTGGTCAGTATTCGTCCATCTTTGATTGTGCACGCAAACTTTATCACGAACAAGGATGGCGTACTTTCTACAGAGGTTATGTACCAAATATGCTAGGTATATTGCCGTACGCGGGAATCGAGTTGGCAATGTTCGAAACTTTCAAGCAGATATACGTGAAACTAACCACCGCAGAAAATGAGAAACCGAGGTCTCCATCAGTCTACGTCTCTGTCACTGCTGGTGCGCTGTCTTCCGTGTGTGGTCAGCTAGGGACGTACCCGTTGGCGCTTGTACGTACCAAATTGCAAGCACAAACGTCCAGTGCGCACAAGGTAAATAGCTTGTTGTGATGCATTTCCTCAAAATACTATACTTGGAAAACCAAATCATATTGGCAAAATATACTCATGGGAAGGAACAAATAAACGAAATGTGATGAGATGAAATGAATAGATAAACAGATAAATGATGAAGTATCCTCCTGGTTTTGGAATGAATAACACTTCTGCAGCAATCGGACCAGCACCGTATTAATCTAACCTTGACTAATTGTGTCTTCTTGGTCCTTAAGTTTCGAATTGATAGTTTGAAAGCAGAACCAGAACCACGGATACTACTTCATGTGTGAATTTCCGTTTTCTTTTGTTTTTCCTACTCCTCCGTATTAATTGCGTACCTTGATCAGACAGTCTACCTGTAGAGGCTCATGTCATGGACCCACCATGTCTGTTTATTGACCCCCGGGGCTTGCGGTTCTTGTTTAAGGGGTTAAATTCGTGTCATGGACCAGGCGGTTCATCTGAATATCCAATAAGCGGCATCTTGTGGTTTTATGCATCTGCAGCAAAGTAGCCCATGTGCTTGCGCCCAGCCGCGAGGGCTGTCAGCCCAGCTAGTACGCGATGATGTTTACAAATTGCAATGAGAACAGCGGCACTGTGGTCCACGGGCTAAATGGCAATCTACTCAAAACAACCAGGAGATTTTCCCCCAGTCGCCCCTGCTGCAGACTGGTAATACGACCACAAGTACTCATAAAGTGCCTTAATGTACTACCAGACCGTAGCATCATTGTGGTCCATACTGCTGTGGACATTCCTTTGGTTGGCTACATTTACAAGCGTGTGTCCGTATACCGCCCAACTGATTATCACTTTAGCCAGTCTAAATTGTATAATTCGATATGTTGTGCAACACACCAGTCACAATATATTTTGCCTACTGCTGACTCGACATGTTTTGATTTGAGCTAATTCGGCTACGAATCAGCAACTATAACTTTTCTCAACCAGTTGTATTCGTGGCGCTTCCGGATTCCTCTTTAAGGAAATTATATTCTTCCATAGGTCTCTCATGATGGTCCTTAACTACATCAAATTGTATAAAATGGGCGCTATTGATCCTAAAATATGTATACGTTTCGTTGAGTGACCCCTCCCAGATCAGCCGATCGTAAATAAATAAGTAAACTTTCATTCTCGACAATGCGAGACAGGCTTCTATCGGCATGATCGGGTAAGTGCATAGTTGTTTATATCTGTCATCACATATGGAACAGGAAAATTAAAAATCAGATCAGGTAATGATGTTTGGAAGGACAACAAAAGCATACTAAATGGCTGACAGATTAAATACTGTTGGCTGGCTTACACCCGTTCCTTCACATAGCTTATTTTAAAACTGATGGCACTCAGGAGAGAGTATGGGAATAAAAGATGTATTGGGTCATGTGAAACCTGGACCCTACTCGTACACTCAGCTTGTTGTCACAGAAAAATCAAACAGTTTGGCCGCACTCTGTGCAGTCATGGACCCGTTGATGCTTTACGACTTCCCGTTCGAGTGCGCAAGCACGTATTCCGGTTGATAGCCTGTTCCAGATTTTAGCGTACTAGTTACGGACAGTGTACGCAGACTTACTGCCAATGCGTTCTGTTTATTTCATTTGCCGTGGACGGCTGTTTGATTAATTTCATGCTTAGGTTGGAAACGCGTATATTTCTGTGCAAGGTGTTGAAACACATGACTAGGTTATGTTTCACGTGCCATAGCAATGGCGGATCAAGCCTAAGCCTTTCACATCGTTCACAATAGACCAGTTTTGAAGAAACCCTTAAAAGCCAATTTGTGAGTGCTTTCTATACATGTTCTAGTGGGCTTTTTGAAGCTATTGTACACCATTGAACAATGTTTCAACGTTTGAGTGACTCGTACATGGGTTTATCTTGTTTTTGAGAAGATTCATCACAGCTAGCTCCAGCCAGACAGCCAACACACAACCAGGATAGCCCTTGAACTCGTCATTTGTACTCACCCGCCGAATCCTACCTGATTCAAACCCATGACCTTACTCTTACGAGTCAGTGACTTATGTCACTTAATCATGGCGGACCTCCATGACTGGTTTAACTGCGATATAGTACCACTATCAGAGAGACTGTTAGGAGAGACAGTGACAAAACAGGCTTTCAGCGACGGGACTGAATTAGCGCTCAACATGTCACGCACTGCGCGCCCACGGAGAGCTAAGCCTAAAGGATTGCTATTGAACGTTAATTGTGAAGGCTGTTTTAAAATATAAGAAATGGAGTAAAATGCACTAACTGTTTTAAAATATCCCATCCCACCTGCTTTCCCCTTAACCTAAGTGGTAAAGTAGTGCAATAACACGACCAACATCGCTTGATCCTGCTCAGAGGGTACGGCTATTCCACTCGTCAGATGCATAGTTATATTGGTCAGAAACGCGACAGGCCGGCTGTAATTATAGAGTCAGTAACTGCCGAAACATCTGTTCCGCTGAACCCAGAGCACTGAGATCCTCGAGTTTTATGTACAACATCAAACCGGTCCGGAACACCGCAGTCAAGCAGGGAATAATGGTCAAGCCTTGGGCCTTTCAATCACGTCGACTTCTGCCACGCGATGGGGCTCGCCTCTAATGATGCGCCCAGACAAACCATCAAAGCCAAGCGATACACACAACACTGCTAAGGGAGTAACAACATACGCGTCCATTATTGCCACCCACATGACCTAAGCACCATCCACCATGCCCTCGATCGCTGTCAAACTAGGCGGTCGTAACGACCACCGATGCGGTCAACGCCAGAGGCGGACAACCTGTTAATTGAGGAACGCATGTCTGGTTAACATAAAAACTCGAACATAGGAACGCGAGTCCTATTTGCTCATGACATTCGCGGCACCTTTCCGGAGCGATGCGCCGTTGTAACCTTTCATTCACCTACCATCGGCTTAGATTGCCTCGTGTACGTCGTCCGGTTGATTTTCCACCACACCTTTGTCTGCCGGCGTCTCATAATTGACCTATTTCCCTTGTGCGCCCTCTTTGATATCCACACTACTCGTAAGTAGTGCACCACAGTACAGCAAAGGGACATAGTTTGCCACCTGTTGTCAGACCAAAGTAAGCAGCCATACACTCCACTAAAAGGAGAAAACTTGACAGTATTATAATTCTCTTACCGTTATATGCTCAAATGTGCTTTAATCCAAAGCAAACTGCTAGATGACCAGAAATAGTTGGTCGTCATCTGTCAATTATTTTGAGTTCAAGTAATGCCGTGCAGTATGATGCACCTCTTCCGTCATCCAAGCTCGAAGCCCTGCGGTGAATCACAACTAATCCACGTGACGCTTCAGTCAGGAGAATATGCAGAGACAGTTCTTTTGTCAGCCACTCGCCTCCGAACACCTCAGCGCACTGTTCGCATTTTCCTTGATGTTCCACGGAACTTACGCCAGAAACGCAAAGTAAACTCGGACGACTGCTGTAAACAGCAAGACGTAAATTAGCTCCTTGTCCACGATGTACCCGAGCTTCAGACTCCAAACGAGTTAGAGGCCAAAGCACGTGACTGGGATGAATGGCGCTTCCTCCGCGAAGTCCTGGAACTCGAAAAGGCGATGGCCAATTCGACTTAAGCGGGGCGTTTGAATTGGCCGTTGCAGCTATCCTCCGAATCATCGTTTTTTGCGCTATCTATTGCAAACGTAACAATTTTGCATGAATATTTTGACGAATTCTTTGGCTAAACAATTTCAAGTTCACTGGGTTCGCTCAACTCCACCGATTCTTTAAAAGCTATCCGTGGCACTTCGCATACCTCGCGGTTTGTTGATTTTATCCAAATGAAACGAGATTTCAAGAAACGTTTTAACAACATTCGGCCTCGTCAGCTAGATGAAGAATCTTATAATTTGTTCTTTCAATATACGGTCATTGCCCAAATATGCGGGACTGATTACTTAAGTGACAACTGTGCACTCTTTACCCAATCTGCTTTTAAAAATGCAAAATTCTTATATTTACTGATGCTGATTTATCATATTTGTGGTAGGTCGTGTAAAATGCTGAAAAGGCATGCATCTGGATGCATAAAGCTTTCATTGACTTGACTCGACTTACTTGGACATCTCAGAGTTGCCAACATCGCCTAACTAAAAAGGAGCGGTCCACGAATGATAAAGACAACAATTTAACCCAAACGCTTTGCGTACAAGATGGAAATGTGGCTGCCACCCGATATATGGATAAAATCGATGGACACTAGTCCACTAATCGACGAGATGACGCTGGACGTGAAAACCTTGAGTGCGCCCCCGTCAGTAGGCGGCGCAGAATTGGGATGCAGTCGAAACCCTCCGTCGTCTGAGGGATGTCTAGTTTTGCAGCCACCTGCTGTCGCCGAGACCACTAAATCTCAACGCGGAATTGCGCTGGGACAAGCGATAACGGTTCAACACAAAAGCGACTGACCCCACAAGGATCGTCGTAACCCAGCATCCAGCATCCGCATGTGCGAATACACCGCTAACTCCTAAGGCCCTCACCTGCTTGTATACGAACGCTCAAGGACTTCAGAGTAAGTTAATCTAGCTTCCTACTCGGCACTCGTTCACTCCTTGGGATATCGTCAAGGCAACTGAAACATGGCTGAATAATCTCGAGATCATTGAGACCGAGACAGCCCTGCCCGGCATAACTCTCTTACGAAACGATTGACCCAGCCGAGGAGGTGGAGTGCCCTTGTGTTAGCGTTCTGACCTGTATACCGATATCACCAATGATCCAGATCCGCAAATTGTCCATTACTTCTGGTATCAACTGCAAATGAAACGTGGTTACGGGTGGTCACTTGCAATTATATACCGCTTTCCAAGGTCCACCTGCAAATGGATTACCACCTGACGTCTGCTTTGTAGCGATTCTTAACATAGTCATGCAGTTAAATCCGTTTAGGGGAAAACTTCAACCGCCACGCAATCGAACTTCCAGCTCCGCTCTCCGAACCATTCAAATTATAAT